TGCTGCTGATCGGAAGAGCCCACTGCAGCACGACCACGTGCTTGGAACGACTCGTTCACTGACAGCTTCATCGGGGTCTCGTCGTACTTGACCGCCTCGACGTAGTGGAGCAAGTTCTCCTTGGGGATCGTATTTGCCAAATAGCACTCCAGCGCAAGCTTCTGGTCCCGCTCGAAATGTACGATGGTGTTGGCCGGGACGATCACGTACTCTGCGTAGCTCCCAGGGGTCACGCCGATCGAATCCTGGATCGATGCATTTGACGTGGTTCTGCCAGCCAGCTCGGACGACGAATCCATCAACATGCGGTTGAGCTTCGCTGGCGCGTCTTGGTCTGATACTCTCTGGCGCTCGATCGCGAGCGCTGCCATGCGAACGTACGGGAGCAGCGGCCACTGATCTGTCGAGCCTCTGCCCGTGCATTGGACGATGTGTCTGGGCACGGTGGGCAGCTTCACTGACTCCGACAGGGGCAGCGCCAGGGCGTTGGTGCGGCCCGCCGCCGCGACCGACCTCGCGGCTGCCCGACTGGGCCTGCGGGGCGGGGGGCGCGGCCCTCTGGCCGCGGCGCCCGCGGGGCCGCGGGGCGGCGGGTGAGGCTCACCCGCAACCTCGGCGAGCACATCGCCCCAGCCGTCCGCCATCGCGGTCTTGCCGCAAAAAAGACACAAAGTGCCAAAGCCTTGCCGAGGCATGTGCGATCCAAAACGGCAGCGCGTGGTGATGATGATGGCGGTGATGCTGCTGCCGTTGGCAACGGGGGGGGGGCGTCCTGAATCCCTTGGGAAGGGGGGCGGGGGGGGGGGTGCAAGGGGCGCTTGCACCCGCTCATCACAGCCCTTCCTTTCTGTCATGTGTCATGTGCCCCCCCCCCGCTCACCCCCGCCCAGCCCCCGACCATATTTTGTCTCCCCCCTCGCTCATTACCCAACCCCCTATTCAAAACAGAGCAAGGCGGACGTCGAGTCGGTGCGTGTCCTGCCCAAAGGGCACGGGGGGGGGGGGGCTGAAAGGGCCTAGGTTGAAACATACGGAACCTCGCATCGCACCTGTGGGGAAAGGGGCTGAACCCCGCCAAACTACACATCGCACTCAGCGCGCGCTGAGGTTCTTGGGGGACTATGCGCTGCGGACCCGAGGCAGACCCAGCAAAACGTTAGAACTATTATGTTTTCCGCATTATCGAATTGATACGAGTGAGCATTGTTTTTGATATTTGTTTAACTGTTTTGGGGCTGCGTCGGAAACGTAGGAAACACCTGTTTTGAGACTCCCTGGGAGATGTTGTGGGGAGTTATCATCTTCCCAGCTGGAGGAGGCCACGCATATCATAAGCCTGGCGCGTCCCTTGGAACGTTCCGCGGCGCGTCTTCCTGGCATGTTCCCCTGTCAATTAGCTCTGGGGCAGCTACTATGTGGACTATGTGCTCAGACAGCTCGAGCTTAAGATCCAGATCAGTTCGGTTAGGACTCGGATGCAAAGGAGGTTTCGATCCACAACACTATAGAGCACAATCGCGGACAATCGCGGCATGGCACATCGCAGTTCAGCACGGCGCAGCACAGCACAGCTCTCGGCACGGTACATCGAGATCGATACATTCACTCAGCATTGCAATCTGGCACGTTCCTTTGCACGTTCCGTGGCGCGTCCCGTGGCGAGTCCCCCTGGCACGTCGCGCGGCGCGTCCCCTGGCACGTCCCGTGCCACGTCCATTGGCACGTTCCGTAGCGAGTCCCCTCACCGTGGCACGTCCCTTGGCACGTCGCCTGGCGCGTCCCTTGGAACTTTCCGCGGCGCGTCTTCCTAGCATGCCCCCCTGTGAATTAGCTCTGGGGCAGCTACTATGTGTTCAGGCAGCTCGAGCTTAAGATCCAGATCAGTTCGGTCAGAACTCGGATGCAAAGGCGGACTCGATCCAAAACGCTATAGAGCACAATCATGGCATGGCACATCGCAGTTCAGCACGGCGCAGCACAGCACTGCCTTCGGCACGGTACATCAAGATCGATACACTCAGCATTGCAACTTGACACGTTTTTTGGCACGCTCCGTGGCGCGTCCCGTGGCGAGTCCCCCTGGCACGTCGCGCGGCGCGTCCCTTGGCACGTCCCGTGGCACGTCCATTGGCACGTTCCGGTGCGCGTCCCCTCGGCACGTCCCGCGGTGCGTCCCCGTGACACGTCCCCTGGCACGTCGCTTGGCGCATCCCTTGGGACGTTCCGCTTCGCGTCCTCCTGGCATGCCCCCCTGTCAATCAGCTCTGGGGCAGCTACTATGTGTTCAGGCAGCTCGAGCTTAAGATCCAGATCAGTTCGGTCAGGACTCGGATGCAAAGGAGGACTCGATCCAAAACGCTACAGAGCACAATCGTGGCATGGCACATCGCAGTTCAGCACGGCGCAGCACAGCACGGCTCTCGGCACGGTGCATCAAGATCGACACACTCAGCATTGCAACCTGGCACGTTCCTTCGCACGCTCCGTGGCGCGTCCCGTGGCGAGTCCCCCTGGCACGTCGCGCGGCGCGTCCCCTGGCACGTCCCGTGCCACGTCCAATGGCACGTTCCGTAGCGCGTCCCCTTGGAACGTCCCGCGGTGCGTCCTCGTGACACGTCCCCTGGTACGTCGCCTGGCGCGTCCCTTGGCACGTTCTGCGGCGCGTCCTCCTGGCATGTTCCCCTGTCAATCAGCTCTGGGGCAGCTACTAGTTACCGTGCTCAGACAGCTCGAGCTTAAGATCCAGATCAGTTCGGTCAGGACTCGGATGCAAAGGAGGACTCGATCCAAAACGCTATAGAGCACAATCGCGGCATGGCACATCGCAATTCAGCTTTGCGCTGCACAGCACAGCTCTCGGCACGGTACATCAAGATCGATACACTAAGCATTGCATTTGCAAGTCGCCCAATTAGGTGTTTTTGAAACGTTGCTATGTCTTACATTTCTATATTCCTTTCCGGGTTCGTGGGTCGATCATGTTCCCGGAAAGGGCGGGGGCCCAGGGTTCTCTTTTAGTTGGTTTACCCCCTGGCCCCGACGGCTGCAGGGCCGGCGGAATTATTGTGCGATAAATGACGAGGTCGCTTAGGGCCGGCGGAAGTATTCCCGGAAAGGGCGGGGGCCCAGGGTTCTCTTTTAGGGGTTTACCCCCGGAATCGACGGCTGTAGGGCCGGCGGAATTATTTGCGATAAATGACGAGGCCGCCTAGGACTGGCGAAATTATGTTTGAGGATGTCTCGAGCGAAACGCTTGTGTTTCAGAATGTGTTGAGGATGTCTCGAGCGAAACGCTTGTTTTGTGTTATAGATTCTCCTCTCCTGGCGACCAGAATTCAGAGGATCTCTCAAGTGAAATGCTTGTTTTCACGTGCCCAGGTCTTGAGGATGTCTCGAGCGAAACGCTTGGTTTCACGCCTCCAGGTTGCCCAGACAGAGGTCTAGCGCCAGGAATTGTTGAGGATGTCTCGAGCGAGACGCTTGGTTTCACGCGTCCTCGTCGCCCAGGCGCATGTCTAGCAGCATGAGGATGTGTTGAGGAAGTCTCGATCGAGATGCTTGTTTGCACGTGTCCAGGTTGCCCAGGCGGATGCCTAGCATGAGGATGTGTTGAGAATGTCTCGAGAGATACGTTTGTTTTCACATGTCCAGGTCGCCCAGGCACTCAGCATTGCAACTTGGCACGTTCTCTGGCTCGTTCCGTGGCGCGTCCTGTGGCGAGTCCCTTTGGCACGTCGCGCGGCGCGTCCCCTGGCACGTCCTGTGGCACGTCCATCTGCACGTTCCGTAGCGCGTCCCCTTGGCACGTCCCGCGGTGCGCCCCCAGGCGCTAAGAACAGAAGTTCCAGGCGTCAGATATGTGTTACATGTTTTCCGTTTCAGAAAGCAGATCACAAGCCGAGGGTTTATCGCACACAAGAAGCAAGCATTATCCAGGCCACGAAATCCCAATTCACCCACGCACCCATGGGTGGTGTAAGACCGCTCGCCCCCATTACTCTGCTCTGCTCTGATTTCATAGCCCCATCTTATTCTTTCAAGACGTGGTCTGCCCCCCACGGGTCGCGCACATGCCTCCGGCCATAATTTGCGGACCCCACATCTGGCTTCGTCGTCAATTGAGCCAGGTGCGCTCTGAGTACGCTATGACTGCGCGGGGCCTTCAACCGGCTGGTGCTGCGCTGTGCTTCTCCGTGCTGCGCTGCACTCTGACCGCGCGCAAGAAAAAATTCTCATCATCCTCCTCGTCCCCCTCCGCCTCCTCATTCTCCTCCTGTCTTTCCCCATCGCCAATCGTGGTGCTTGCTTTGGGGGAGGGGCGGCTCAGAGGGGGGAATACCGTCCTGGAATCAGCGGTACATCGCCGTTGCATCGGCGATAGGCCCCCAGTAACAAATCCGCACGCTCCTGAGCGGGCTGGGCTATCAGGCCCCTATCGGCGCTGCACCGCCGATTTCAGCTCGATACTTCCCCCCCCTGAGCCTACCCCCCCTTACCGCTGCCCCTCAGGATTCCTCTTTCAAGACCCCCGACGCGATCATCTGTTTAACAACGTCGGCCCCCAGAGGTGTCGACGCCTTCTCCAGTCCCAGAGGTGTCGACCCCTTCCCCAGAACAGGTTGTTTTGCGTATTTCGCGCAGCGCGAAGTGATTCGCGTTTCGCGCAGCGCGAAGCGCAAAGTTAGGCGCCCTTCGGCAAGGGCCCTTAGAGGCCGAAAAGAATGAAAAGCCTTCAGCCGTGATGATATGTTTCTATCCCTCAAGCGGTACAGTCAAACTCATAGTATGGACGCACGGATGTCTTGAGGGTATGTTTGTGTCCTTGCCTCTGTGGCCCGTCGTTCGCGGTTTTCACTGGCCAGTCCTCAAGGGCGCTGGCAATCCGCCGCACAAGAAGTGCCAACTTCGGCGTCCAAGGCCCTTGCGTCCGTACCCCCGTCCTTACCAGACATTTCGGTCGTATGGGTCTTCGACGTCCCCCCTCCTGGGCGCCTCCCGAGGAGCGCGCGGCGCCGCCAGCGCCCGCGCGCCCGCCGCCGCCCGCGAGCGGCGCGCTGCCGTGGCCCAGCCTGACCCTGGCGGCGGAGCGCGGCGTGGCCGCTGGGGTGCCGATGCCACAACGGCTGCTGCCGCACCACGCGCCGAAGGCTGGAGCCCTGACGACCGCGACGACGACGACGACGACGACGACGACGACGACGAGAAGACGGAGAAGGAGGAGGACGAAGAAGAGGAGGAGGACGACGAGAAGAAGGAGGAGGAGGAGGAGGAGGACAGGGAGGACGAGGAGGAGGAGGAGGAGAAGGAGGAGGAGGAGGACGACGACAACGACGACAACGACGACGACGACGAGGGCTGCGGGGAGGGAGAGGGAGACAGGGAGGCAGCGGCTGCTGCCGCACCACGCGCCCAAGAGCAGAGTCCCCGAGCTGTAGGGGCAGGGCGTGCTCAGGGATGGCTCCTGATTCGAGCCTCCCGCCTTGGCGCTGGGGCTTCTCCTGATTGCACTCAGCTCGAGTTTTCCCGGATCGCTTTTTGCCCCATGATCGGGGGAACGTAAGACTCAAGTAAGCCGGGCTCGGGTTCGCTGACGTTTTTTCGGCGAGCGCGTCCTGGATTTTGACGGTCCAGTTTTCGAGGGGTGTTTGCAGCGGGAGTTCGCGTCAAATTTCAGATTGGATCTCGTCATTTGTATGATGGCCCCGTCGGACCAACCCGAGTCCCTCGTACACGAGTCTTACGTCTCCCCGACATTACAGATTGCCCAATATCCTAGTCAGACAGGAGCTATCCTGGGCCAAGCGCATCCATGGTTATCCCAGATCGCAGTTGGGGACAGCGAACAGGGCTGTACCCGGAACAGGTCTATCCTATATTGTTCGCGTGCCCAGCAAGTCTTGAGAGAACGCCCACCCAGACAAGTCGACAGACAAAGCGACCGGTTCAAGCGACATTGATTCGAGGCTACCGGAGCAGTCCTCCGTCGGCGTCGCGAGTGGACGGGCGTTTCGCCAGATACATGCAGCGGGTTCTGGACGTCGACTGGCTACCCCGCTGGGGTCTACTCGGAGTGCGCTGCCGCGTGCGCACGCGGAATGCCCCCGGCAGCTTTCGCTCAAGGGCGTGTTTCTACAGGGTGTCCTGCCAGTCGTTGCCCGAGGCGCTGCTCTGCGCGCCCCCGGGGCTGGGCGCCGCGCCGGCCGGCCTGGACTCAGGCGCACCACCGGGGCTGGAGCTCAGGGGAGGAAAAGGTACCCGGTGCAAGGGGCCGCCTTACGGGGGCCCGAACACGGCCAGAGAGGGTTCCAAAACGGCCCTAGAGGCGCCCAAGACGGCCCAAGAGGGCCCAAAGACAGCCCCAAGAAGGGCACAAGAGAGGGAACACGAGCCGAAAATCCGAGTCTTCCGCCTTAGCTGGGCCCACAGGAGTGCCCAAAGAGGCCCCATGAGGCCCCCGGAGGCCCAGGGGCTCGCTCATTGGAGGGGGGGGAGTTTCGTGGCTCGAAGTTCTCGGGCGTTCTCCTTGGTTCTAGGTGATTGTCCAGCCTCGGGGCTCGCTCATGAAGGGGGGGGAGTTTCGTGTCTCGAAGTTTTAGGGCGTTCTTCCCGGTTCTGGGCGATTGTCCAGCCTCGAGCTCGCTCATGGAGGGGGGGGGGAGTTTCGTGGCTCGAAGTTTTCAGGCGTTCTCCTTGGCTCTGGGCGATTGCCCAGCCTCGGGGCGCGTTCCAGCGGTTGCGCCTGGCCGAGGGCGTTCCCTGGGGTGGCCCGAGGGAGGACCCCCAAAATCACCGGGCGGCGAAGAGGTCAGGGGCAACGTTGCGTGGGGATCCTCCTCCTCCTCCTCCTCCTCCTCCTCCTCCTCCTCCTCCTCCTCCTCCTCCCTCTCCTCCTCCTCCTCCTCCTCCTCCTCCTCCTCCTCCTCCTCCTCCTCCTCCAAGCTCATGGGGGTTCGCATCGGCCCGATGAAACCAAAGAACTCTCAAGCTGCGGATGCGCGATGTTTACAATACTGCCTGACTCTAGCTCATGGGAAAAGCGTCCCCACTAGTTTCAACGGGCAACGTTACGTGGGGATAGGCCCATGGGGGTACGCATCGACGCCCAGATGCCCATTGGTCGCCAGTAGGGGCTCCATAGCCCCACCCCGCCCAGGAACGTGCGGATTCGCCGTCGGGGCCTATCGCCGAGCTATCGGCGATGTATCGCCGACTCCAGGCCGATGCTTCTCCCTCTGAGCCGGTCCCACCTCTGTTGGAATGAACGACTCGGTAGTTAGCGCGAACGTGGTTATTTTGTCTGCTTGCGCAGTTAGAAACTACCCAACTGGCCAGCAGGCCTGACCACCATTGGGCGGATTCCGGAAACCCTGAACCCAAAAACATGTCCATCCTTTGGGGGCGCATCTTTTAGTTCCGCCGCCTTCCGCCCGCCTTCCGCCGACGGAGGCGGCATTGTCTTATTTCCGCCGCCTTTCGCCGCCCTTCCGCCGCCTTTCGCCGAGGAAGAGATGGCAACTCCTTCGATCCTCGAAAGCAAGGCCCTTCTTGGAACGCTGCATTTCCTAATCTGCATGATGGTTTGCTGGTAACGCTGGCGGTCCACGCAGGACACCCGCCTCGCTAAGAATCCCATGGGGTTGTTAGATGGTGGTCAGAAACTTTGAGCTCACACTTTGAAGATTCATATTGCTTTTGCATACTGGCTCAACCACCAACTCCCCAGCCACGTTTTCGGACTTTCAACTCAGAGGAGGGAAAGTACCGATGCCGCTACCCTTGCCTCGTTTTCGCCTTTTTGGGGCCTCCTGGGAGGCCCTCGTCGCCACGGCTGAATTTGCTTCGAAATCTGGGTCAGAACGCACCCCAGGAGGGGTCCGGGGAGCAGCGGTACTTCCAGGGTTCCTCCAGGAGCTGGGCACGCCACCAGGCCTGGAGCTGCTGGAGGACACGCAGAGCGAGGACACGCAGCAGGAGCACGTCGAGCTGCTGAGGGAATTCTGCGACGAGATGGAGTGCAAGGGGGGAAAAAAACAGCCCGACCCTCATTATCGGCGACTCCTGAGCTCGAGGAAGACATTAGCCTGGCGAAGGGCCCAACCATACGCAGTTGTGGGCACCGTCCTTGTGAATACAGTGGTCGGTGGCTCTGTTTATGGGGCCATGAAGCGCGTGAGGGGTGTGCCGAAATTGAAGGTGGAACCGCATGCGGGCACTGCCACTGGGGCGGTGGAGCTCCCTATGGGGCCACGAACCGTGTGAGGGGTGCACCGAAATGGCGGGTGGAACCGCATGCGGGCGCTGCCACTGGGGCCTTAGGTGGAGCTCCTTAGGGAGACACGAAACGAGTGAGGGATTCGCCGAAATGGAGGGTGGAACTGCATGCGGGCGCTGCCCTTGGGGCTTTAGGTGGAGCTCCCTATGGGGCCACGAAGCGTGTGAGGGGTTCGCCGAAATGGAGGTGGAACCGCATGCGGGCGCTGCCATTGGGGCATTATGTGGAGCTCCTCATGGGGCGACGAAACGTGTGAGGGGTGCACCGACATGGGGGGTGGAACCGCATGCGGGCGCTGCCCACTGGGGCATTCGGTGGAGCTCCCTATGGGGCCACGAAGCGGGTGAGGGGTGTGCCGAAATTGAAGGTGGAACCGCATGCGGGCACTGCCACTGGGGCGGTGGAGCTCCCTATGGGGCCACGAACCGCGTGAGGGGTGCACCGAAATGGCGGGTGGAACCGCATGCGGGCGCTGCCACTGGGGCATTCGGTGGAGCTCCCTATGGGGCCACGAAGCGGGTGAGAGGTGTACTGACATGGAAGGTGGAATTGCATGCGGGCGCTGCCCACTGGGGCCTTCCGTGGAGCTCCCTATGGGGCCACAAAACGTGTGAAGGGTGTGCCGACATGGGGGTGGGGAGGATGGATGAGCGGGAGGAGGAGGGGAGCAGGAGGGAGGAGGGGGAAGAAGAAAAAGAGAGGAGAACGCGGGGCGCTTTCTCTTCGAAACGAGGACCCAACGCCACAGGATGGTTGGGAAAAACTGCATTCAGATAAACGTTCGCAGCTCCGCGCGGATCTCTCAGATCGGCGCTGGAAGCCCCCCTGGCGGCGACTCTGGCGCCGCCCCTGGCGCGCTCCGCGCGCCACAGAGGGGGCTTGGCGCAGATCAAAGAAATCCGCGCGGACCCTCGACAGTTTATGTATGCCGCGTGTTCTTCCTCTGTAAACGGCCTTGCTCGTCTACTAAACAGCCCTGTCATAATCGACTCTTTCCTTGGGTGCGTTTGCTAAGCGGCGTCGCTCGTCGGGGTGCTTATCATGAGGGTGGCTTCTCTGCCCTCTAGGAGTGGCCGCAGCCCCGGTTCTGCGTCAAGGCCGAGGGGGACGGGTGCCTGGCGATGGTGGAGATCGTCGTCCTCGGCGTGCTCCACACCTTCTCAGGCCGGCTGTGCGAGGACCTCGAGTCGGCCGAGGCGGACGTAGCCCAGAGGGTGTTGTGGTACCTGCGGGCCCCGGGCAGCGAGGACGCCTTCGAGCCAGACGAGGAGTACGCCAAAAAGGCGGCTCAGCTGATCCCTGGGCCGCCCAAGGCAGATTGGGTCAAGGACGGCGTGCTGAAGGACGAGGTGGCAGAGCGGAAGACGACCGTCATGGTGGTGCAGAACAGGCTGCAGCAGGTTTTCTCACACCAGGTGGTGCCTGGCATGCCCGTGTGGCATTGGAGCTACGAGCGAGGACGACGCGCTGGCCTGGATCCAAAGCTGTATCGCGCCAGGGTGACCATTCCGCTCGCAGGCCGGCAGTTCGTTGGCAAGTGGATGTATGATCAGAGGGAAGCCCAGATCGACACCTGCTCTCACGTCATCGAGTACATCGACAAGGAATGCCCACCGAGGCGGTGACCTATTTCGGCCTGTGCTCGGTGTACCTGGCGAGTTTCCCTTTGCCGGCTCCTAGCCTGACAATCTGCCCGTCCCCCAGACATCTCTCAACTTGGGACTCGTACTTCCGACGTCGTGTTTTTTTGTCAGAGCGTGGCCCCAAATGATCTCGACCCCTTTCCTTGGGTACAGTGTTCTGTCGTGGGCCCAGAACCTGCCCCCGGAGCCCATAAGAGGACAAGCACCAGGGTTGAAAACCTGGCGGACGGCAACGGAGGGGGGCTGTAAGCGCGGGGGGATTCAAGATTGCGGGAAGTTGGTCCTCAAGGGCTTATGCATGGCCCCTGAATTATCACCGCGGGTCCAAAACGCCCACGACAATGCACGCCTCGTCAGCCACGCTTCTTGCCCGTTAACGAACATTCGACGGGGGTGAAAAGGTCACGACACCAGAGGGCCCCTATCCTCCACCCCTTCTTCTTTATGAATAATTCCTCCCTGCTGCACCCTCAGACGTGTCGGTAGGGTGGGCCGAGCGTTTCGCCTGAAACTTCGTCCTCAATTATTATCTTGAAGTTTGGTACTTGCAAAGTCTAACGGATGGAGGGCGGGTCGTCTTCAACATGTGGTTATCGCCTCAGTCCCGCGCTTATTTGTTCTAAAGTTTCACGTGTGGAGGGCGGGTGGTTTTCAAAATGTGGTTCTCGCCTTAGTGTCGCGCACATTCGTGTCAAAGGTTCGTAACATTTTCGCTGATGGAGAGCGGGCCGTTTTCAGAATTGGCGATCGCCTCACCGCCACGGACATTCGTCTTTCAAGTTCGCACAGCTTTAAGGATGGAGGACGATTCATGTTTACAATGTGGTTCTCGCCGCAGCGCCGCGCACATTCACAGTCGTCTTGTAAGCTTACACCAGATTCAAAGGTTAGCATGATCGAATCCCAGGAGCTGCGTTCTGGTAACATCTAGGGTTGTTAGGACGCAGCAGTAACGTTGGTTCGCGGTGTTGAAAGTCCTAGGACTGGTGTCCGGGCACGAGTCAGGGTCGTCAGGACGCAACAGTCACATTGATCCGCGGCGTTGAAGTCCCAGGAGCAGTGTTCTGGTACGGTTGCGGATTCTCAGACGGTTGCTTTCTAATGGGCCACTTCCCGCAATGAAGGTAGATTATTGCAGGGACCAGCGAAGAGGGAACTCGGGAGGGTTGATGACAGCATTGTTGATGCTTCTTGGTTTTACACTGCTCCTCCTCCTCCTCCTCCTCCTTCTCCTCCTCCTCCTCCTCCTCCTGCTTGTCCTGGCACGGCCTGGAGAATCCTGTCGGGGGGGGGCGGGCGGCATAGCTGCGAGGGGGGCCGGTCCGGCGCCCGAGCGGGACGGCGGCCTTGGGAGAGAGCGAGAGGGAGAGAGAGAGAGAGAGAGAGAGAGAGCGAGATTCGAGGGCAACAACGTCAAGGGGGATAGCACGGTGGGGGCCAGGTTTTCGGACGCTTTCGTCGGTTCTCGGCGGTATTCCAGCCTCGGGATGCTCTCCAACAGCTGCGCCTCGCTCGGGGCGTGCCGTGGGTGCCCGTATCGTCCCGAACGGCCGCTGAAGAACCGAGCTATGACCCGAAAACCAGGGGGGCAGGCTGGGGGCTAAGGCTCAGGGGGGACGCAACGACCCCAATCGCCCACTCATCGCCGACAGGGGCCCGATAGCCCACCCCGCCCTGGAGCGTGCCGTTCCGCTATCGGGGGCCTATTGTGCCTTTTTCCGATCCGTCGGCGACGCATCGTTGATTCAAGTTCGATGGTTCCCCCCCGAAGCTGGCCCCTCCCTCACGTTGCCCCGCAGAGAAGGGAGGCATCGACGGCGGCCAGGGAAGCATCGCCCACTGGTGGGAGCAAGGGGACGAGTTCTGCTGTACGTCTGCTCCGCTGTTGGGGCGTTGCGCTCAGGGGGGGGCATTCCGACCTCCGACGTCGCAGCGTTGTCAGCTCGGGCTCCGCAGGCCATCGTCTGGCACCTGGGGGCCCTCAAGAGACGCTCTGGAACGAGAGCCTGACCCCTGGGAGCCCGGGACCACCACGAGACGCGCTGGGACGAGAGCCCAGAAGCCGGGGAGGGGCCGGGACGCTGGTGGACTCCGTGCTGGAAAATCACGACATCGGGGGCCTGGGAAGCACCACCACCACCACCACCACCACCACCACCACCACCACCACCACCATATTTTGGTGCGTTTGGCCTCCCAGCTTGGCAGGGAACCGGTATACGATATGCACCAGGGTCTGGGCCCAGCATTAGCCCAGCATGCAGTCCCTCTCTCCAGCCTTCCCGCTTCCACGCCTGCTCAGCGCGTATTCCCGGCGTCACGTGCCACTACTTGGCAGCGACCCCAGAAACCCACGGACGGTTGGCAGCTTATGTTCGCCCCCACGTTCGGAAAGAGTATGGACGGGCCATGGCCGTCCCGGTGGCCTCGCTCCCCACCTCGTCTCCCTCTCGGTAGGGCCCACAGCGACCCGGCACCGGTCAGCACTGGTCTAGCGATCTTTCGTTGAGCCGTCGCGGACGGTTGCAAGACGGTTGCAACCAATGCCGTCCCGAGCTTATCCAGGAACAAATGGATAGACGCCATGCTAACATTTGCATGCTATTCCGTCTCTTTGGATCGTTCGTATGACAAGGACGAGTTGTTTTTGTGATATGGAGGTGGTAACAACATACTTGCCGTAGCCGTTGATGCTATGGCAACTTAGTTGTGTCGAGGTCGGTGATGTAGGCGGTGGTCTTGCATGGGAAGTTTCCCCAATGCGGACGACACGTAAAGTAATAGTCGTGCACACTTGTCCATAGCGTTTTGAACGCTCATGCACTTATAATGCTTTGCTGATGTACGCGCACAAATAAAACCATACAATATGTTTGTTCCGCATCTCCCCGACCAGGGCGAGATAGAATCCCACACGGATGTCGGACCCACCGCCGTTAGAGCTGTTGTCACAGCCGCTGCCATCGGAGCCGCGGCCGTAAGAACCACCGCAGTCGGAGTCAACATCAAAATTGTCGGCTGCGTTACCGAGCTACCATTAGAGCTTGCATCAGACTTCTCGCCGTTGGAGTTGCCATGCGAGATGCCGTCGGAGCCGCCGTCAACACTGCTGCCGTCTTCGGAAGTGCTGCTGTCGCGCGGTCCACAATCGGAGCCACTGCTGTCGGAGCGATTGTCGGGACTGCTGCTGGGGCCGCCGGACCACCATCCGGAGCCGCCGTCAAATATGCTGTCGGAGCTGCTGGAGTCGGATTGGAATACCAAGCGACGAAAAAGGAAACCACAGCGTGAATGGAAGTGATGGTGAGTCGGGGAGCAGCGGAAAGAGGTAGCACATTGAGATGCTAAGGTAGATGATGCAGCGGGAGCGTTGGCCCAAACGGATGTCGGAGCCAAAATAAAGCACGCGTTGGGGTATCAGTTGTTTCAGGCAACTCTGTTGAAGAACATCTCGAAACCATCCAGCAGGCATTTTTCTGTTCCCCAGCATCGAATACGATACCACCAGCGACAATGCGAGGCAACGAAGCAGTGCAGCTACCATATCGCCAAGCGATTGGAGGGAAAAACGCCCAGCTAAGCAGAGCTAGAGGAGGAGGAGGGGGAGGAGGAGGAGGAGGAGGAGGAGGAGGAGGAGGAGGAGGAAGAAGAGGAGGAGGAGGAGGAGGAAGGCAGGTCAGACAATTTCCAGATCTGCTAGCGGACAGGCGGGCTCAGATTGTTTTCGCGGTAGGTCGTTGTGGATGCAGAGGGCCATTTGTGCCAGAGTTTTTTGTAGAGCTACACCCAGTGATCCCCATCACCGGTGCTGGAACTCGAGCGCAGTGTCTTTTCCGAATGTTCCAAAGCATTTGACGACTTCGTGATACGTGTCGTTGTTCTTGTTTCGTGCTCTATAAGTTTATTTCCAGATTTGCTTGTGCCAGGTCGTAGCGCATTTTTTAGAGCAGCAATAAGGAAGACTCCCACTTTCCCACTGCGTGCAAACGGCGGCGCAGCGAGCGCGAGGTGAGATAGCAGGCCGGCAAAGCAAGCCTGGAGGAGCAGGAGGAGGAGGAGGAGGAGGACTAGAGCACATCGAGGTCTGCAAGTGGGCAGGGAGGCTCCTGAGGCGTATAAGGCAGGTCTCCCCCTGGCCCTAAAACCGTCCTTGCGACGGCACGCTGTAAAGCGAGCCCCAAAATACCCCATCACCTGTGTTGCAGACCTAGCGCGGCCCCATCCCTCACTCTCGCGTGCATAGCTCGAGTGCGCTCGTAGGCCAAAGCAGGTACGAGAGAGATGCTTTCATCCCCCCACCTACCGTAAACCTCGACCCCTAAACATTGAAGACTACCTAGTCCGCTACTAGTCACTTCAGCGTAGGTGGTGTCGTTTTCCCGTTGCGCTCTCTCCAATAGGTTTCCTCCTTTGTTACTCGTCCCCCCTCTTGACCGACCTCTCGCAGTTATGGGGCTCACCACTGTTACGTCGCAGAAGAATGGAAGCCCTCTCGCCGCGTTCGTGCAAGTGATCACAATATCTAGTCGGCGCATGTCCCCCGGAGGCACTGGTATATTGGTAGTGTGTAGGTAACGTTCGATGTTACGGTCAGGTACCTGGCCCCCAGCTTCCCTGAAGACTTGCCTCCATGCCGCCATCAATTCACTGTGGCGGCCTAGCCACCCCCCGCCTGTCCCGTTAGCCAGGCGTCCGTGGCCATGTACGTCCGACCCGTCAAGGACGCAAGCAACCCCCAGTCGACGGCGCACCGCACATACAAAGTAAGAGTCGGTAATTCTGAGCATATCCGTAGTCGGGCAAACAAGTAACCAACCAGAAGAAAATCGTCCTATGATGGAGTGTATCCGTGCTTTACCTGCAGTTGCAGCGTTTGATCGTTGACTGGGTAACGCGAATGCCCGTAGTAGGTTTGCATGGGCGGTCGATTCCAGGTTGTATGACGCATGGTATTGCCACCCATGTTGCCACTCTCCCAAGACAAGTTGAGCGATGTTTGGTGTCAGAGGCCGTTGTCCAGCTGCGACGTCCGCCCACGTAGGTCGTTCCCCCCCACCCTGCTGTGACGCAATGTCGTCCCGCCAACTCCGCTGCGACAAGACAGCGCGGTGCAGTAACCGCATTCATGTCGGCAGCGGCTCCCACCATATTGAAATAGTACACTCTTTGGCCTAGAGCTGGGAACCTGACAAGGACGTCCAGGAGGGCGTCAGCCCGACTGGCCCAGTATGCTGCGTAAGACGCGCGTGCGGAGTCCCGCAAGCCCATCCCGGCAAGCCGAAGCGGTAGTTTGGATTGCGTGACCCACGTGATGTAAGGAATGCCATGCAACGTTGTATCCCATTATTGTTGTGTTGGTATGCCGAAGATTTCTTGGAATACATGTTGGATTGAGTTGTCGTAGTCGTCGGATTAGGTAGTTCATCCGTGGCAGTGCACAGAAGTACAAAATTTGCCACGAGGCTTGTAGAGAGGGGAGCTTAGGTAAAATGTTTAATGGCTTCGCCCTCTCGTGAGCAATCGTAGACCAAAACCTATTGATAGATTCTTCAGTGCCGAATTGTGTACCTAATATTGTGATGCCCCTGCTTTCCGCTGGTTTGTCACATCTCAATGCTGTGGCAGCAGCGCCATCCAGATTGTCAGTGCTGGGGTGTTCCCCCATATCGCAAGTTTCCCAATGTTCGTGTCGATGTGGCATACTGTCTGCAATGTCAGTTCCGTAAGTTGCAGTACGTATTGAACATCGTCTGCGTCACACACTAAATATTTGTCATCAAGGTATGCCACAGTTTCTGCTCCTGGGGGGAGGCGGTCCCGTATGTGTAGTAGTGCTGGGTGAAGGGCCATACAAAACAGCGTTGGCATAAGAGCGTCGCCTTGTTCACCCCCGTCCCCTTGTGGAAATGCGTAAACATTGCCTTGCGCATCTTTCCAAAGAACATAAGATATTTCGCCGTACCATTGCCGTACAAATGGTTGCAATGTGTGGAGTGCCGGATTCCGTTGGAGTTCTTCGAAGATGCGCGTTCGGCATACATGGTCGAAGGCCCCGACTCCATCGATGCTAACCACGACCTATTGTTGAAAATGATCCGTGAGAAACCGTAGGACATGTATTGCAGCATCCGTCCCACTTCGGTCTGATAGGCCAAAGTTGTGCGGCCATATTGTGTTCCGTAATTGTGTTTGGAATTGCCATGTCAACGTTTTGGAGACCAGCCGTCTGAATGTATCTCCTGACGCAATACCGCGAATCCTGCTATTCGGTTTTTCAAAGCAGTGAAGGCCGATATCTGCATTACGTCCCGTATTTCGCGCGGAATTTCTGCTCGCCCCAACTTTTCCGCCACGTCGCATAGTGCGTCACACGGCATATTTTCTTCCAGGCATAATTCGAAATACTCGTACCGCCACCCCCATAAGCCAGCACCGAGTCCCCTCCTGGATTGACTTAGTGCTGTCGCAAACACATTACGATCCAATACCAATGGCGTATCGGGTGCGAAATGTTCGAAACCTTTTGGCGGTGGCTCGGAGGGGCGTTGTGGCCTCAAAGTACTATTTGATAGTTCTGCCAAGGTATCTGGTGTTCCCGGCGCCAGCCTTGGTGAGGTGAGGTTCCGAGCAGCATGGTTGAGCTCTCCATTTCCGATGAGACCCATGACGTTCTTTATCCTTTTTGCTTCGGTATATTATGTCTTCCGTCGTTGCTTACGTGATGCTTCCAATGCCCGTTGTAGGAGGCGGTCCCATTCGCTTCTGTACATCGCAACGCGTTGTTTCAATTCCCGTTATCTTGCTTTCCCTCCGTGCTGTGCGTTGTGGATTATCATACGGGGTAAGACGAGAAATAGAGTCCACGAGTCGCTCAAGCGTCACGGCTCAAGCAATCCTCCAGGAATCTTGTATGTATATTTTTGTGTTCCCAACGCTGTTGGCATAATTATAACAGCGTTTGATATACGAAGCGACATATCCCAATACCTCTACTCCAATATTTTTGTCACTCAATGTCTACACCCCATTTCTTACTCACTGACTCCATACATCTTGCCTTATCCGTTCTCTTCTCGCTTGCGGCCGCGTGCGTGTTGCGCCGGTGACGACCAATGGAATGGATCGCCAATATAAATTGGGCCAGCTTGGGTACTACAGTTGCCGGATGGGGTACCACATTCTGGATATGGGCCTTTGGAGCTGTACGGGGGGGCACCGCATATTTAGCAATTTTTCCGCCGACGTGTTATGCGGCCACCGCTCATGCCAGCATGGTGTGTCTGGGCATGGAGACTGCGTACTACCAGTACCCGGGGTTCGGCCCGTTCGCTGTGAGTTGGGGGTGGTGCCTGGTGGGTTTCATAAAGGGTGTTTTGATCAGCGGGTTGCTTGTGACACAATATGGGTTGCCACACCTAAACATGCAGTTCGTCCCAGACGCCGACCACAACCACCTCGACTTCGTCCACTACGTTCGGGCTCGGGGACCAGCGGCAGTACGGAACATGGCCCAATTAGCGGGAGTAGAGACCTTTCCGGCTTGCCCGTCGCAGCACCACCAAAACTCTG